GGCAGCAACAATACTACAGCGAGAATGAAAGTTACGCCTTCTTTCTTTGCGTGAATATTTGGGCGGCGTTATGCAAATCTTCCCACATCGTGACGTAGACATGTGGGGGCGTGTTAGAACGAGCCGTTTTAGGTAGGCGTGGTTGACTTAACTTTTATAAAGAATATCTCTTTGGGTTTGAGACTTTAGTCTTTGCAACTTTAGGGATCTTATCTATGCACGAACAGCTTGTAACACTTCAAAGAGAAAGGAAAACTTGAAATTGCATCATATGACCCCTTTAATTGATGGACTGGAGTGGTGTGGATTACTTGTGGATTATTGTGATGTTTTTATCAGCTGTTTGGACTCTCATTCTGAAGGCACCCATTCACTGCAGAGGATCCACAATCTCATCTACATCTCGGATGGCCTGAGAGCAGTGGTGTAATGTAACGAAGTAATAATACTTCATTACAGTACTTAAGTATTTTTTGGTAGTATCTGTACTATACTTAAGATTTCATATTTCACTTTTACTCCACATTTCCTAATTAAAATGTTACTTTTACTCCGATACATTTCCCCGAAGCATATTCATTACTAACTACAAAATAAAGTTGGAAGAAGACAGACTGCAAGAAAGCAGGTTTGATGAAACAGTGGTCTGCTGCTTGCAAGTGAGGCTCCTAAAAACACCTTTGCTCATGTGCAAACCAAGTGCTCACACAACCGCGGTCGATTTCATTTTCCACTCAAGTCGAGTCTGGGGTGTGCGATATACAGTATATCGTCTGTGATAATATGGTAAAGTGTTGTTGTAATGATGTGCCATCTGACATTATCGAGTAGCTATATCACAAAATCACACATAGAGAGTGCACGCATGTGATTTATTAGTCTATTAAAACTAAAAATTCAAGGCATTATAAATTGTAGATGGCAAAAATGCCTCTGTATGTTTTTTATATTTATATAATTTAATATAGTTAATCTATATCACACACAGAGTGCCGTTTTTTCTCCATATATCAGCATGATAACAAATGTAATAATCATTTTATACAAGTTTAATAAAGTTAGCATTAAGTGACTTATATTTTAGACACAATATTGCCTGTTTTTTGCTCAATTTTTCCAATGAAAATAGTTCCAAACAAAGATCACAGCAATGTTTTGCGTCTCTAAGCAATGGACGGTGTTTCCTTATTTGAATGGATCAGCTTTTTGAACAAACGGGTTGAATGAATGATTCAGTGACTCACTCATTAACACAGTCAAATGTTTTTGTTCCTAAATGAATCAGCCGTTTGAATGAATCAGTTGAATCTCAATGACTCACTCATTAACGGTCACGTGCTGCCACCTACTGGCGGTTTTAATTTCACATTCAACTGTTTTTTTCATGTTTTAAATCATTTCAAATATCAGTATTCAGGTTAAATGCAGGTTAAATGCATCCATATATCCTCTGAGATATATTAAACTGTGTAAATACATTTAAATGCCATTTCAGATGCAGATTCTAGAAATGTTTTCTTATGTTGGAATGAAAGAGGCTAAGTACCGGATGAAGTGCCTCTTATGCTTAGTTACCCAAAGATACAAAATGGAAGAAAGAGTTAAAACTGAACACAATCTTGCTACTCAAACTATGAGTAAACTATTTTTAATGTATTTGCTCCTTTTCCATTTTGCATTTACTTGTACTTTTACTTTCAATACTTAAGTACGTTTAATATTGAAAAAATAAATATCACATACATTAAGACTTTTACTCAAGTAATATTCTAAACAGTGACTTCAACTTCTACCAAAGTCATTTTCTGGTAAGATATCTGTACTTTAACTCAAGTGTGGCTTTCAGGTAGGCTACTTTATCCACCACTGCCTGAGTGTGAGTACATTTTCAGCAAATTTTCATTTTGGAGTGAAGTATTCATTTAAATGCCTGTGATAAAGTCTGCCCTTCTGAACCAGTGGATCACGATCTTCCATTAGTGGAAGTGTAGAGTGTTTCAGTGTGCAACAGTACTGTCACTATAAAGAGGATTAACTGAGAATATTGTCACATTTATTTTATAGTATCGATGTGGAACAAAACATTGAGACATTTTATCAATCTTAAATGAAAAAATATTTGAGTGCAACTACAGCTTAAAAGTGTCTGGTTCAAAATACAAATACAAAACATTGAGATAATGTAAAAATAAATAATTCACTTTCATATTCACCCTGTCGATTTCAGCATATTTTTGTTGCCAGGAGACTACATTGCTCCTAGAAGATTAAAACAATACTGTGTTGTATTTTACCATGTAGCTCAAAGCAACTCTATGCAGTTTTGTGTATTTGTCGGCGACAATAGCCTAGTAGGCAAGTGTGCCGACATATAACGCTGTTGCGTTAAGAGCGTCCCGAGTTCAAATCCTGCCTCGAGGACCTTCTCAACCCTGTCCCCCTCTCTTTCCTACTTCCCTTCCTGCCTGCTCTCCACTGTCATATCATAATAAAGGCAAAAATAAAAAAAGATTTTGGCGCCCCCTACAGTCAAGTGAGTGGAATTCACCATTGTAAATATACCAGTCATAATTCCAGTGCGTGTATAGCTGTACACACACAGTTGTTGGTGCCTCAAAGCTTTTTGCCGAATTTTTCGCACCAAAATGACATACTCAAGGGAAAGAAACAGAAGCCATTTGCCTTATTAGAACTATTGAAAGTTGACTCCGAATTGTTTTGAAACTGATATTTCAAGGTAAAAAAAAAACTGCATAGAGTTGCTTTAAGTGAGAAATTATGATCCCGTCATTCCAAGACAAGTATGTTGGCCATGATAAGAACTGAAATGCTACAAAACAAACCAACAGACCTCAACCAACCATTAATAACCCTTGAAATATTGCACATGTAATTATTGTTAATATCCTTCTTTTACATATGATACATTCAGATTATTTTAACAACCAAGACTACAAATTCACATCATTATCTTTTGAAAAATTTAGAGTCCCTGGAATGCAACATCTTGAAACACTGAAACTTCCAGTGATGCCATATCGGCATCATAATTATACAATTTACCTAGTTATAATAATCAGCTTTTTAAGGTTATCAATATGTCTGGTTAACACTGTGTACATTGGAAAGTGTCAATTTGTGGCTCTGATCTCAAGATCTCTGAAAACATCTTGCTTTTGGTTGAAAACCTCAAACACAGATGGTAAATATCAGTCAGTCCTCTTCACTGTCTACAATGTATTTAGTTCTGACATGGTATACTCTCATAACAGTGGTCTGCTAATATTCTGAATGTTTTAATGCCCAAATACGAGTTTGCCTTCATCCTCATTATGGTTAACGTTTACGGTCAGTATTCTAGACCCACTGTTCCTTGCAGGATGAATGAAGTATGTAGTGTAAATATGCTTTAGCAGCTAATACCGGAAACTAGAAATTATTGCCACCACAAAATGCTAATTGTTGATAATAGTCAAGGCCAAAGGTTTGCAAAACACCCTAAAATGTGAACTGCTACTGTACCTTCCTGTGAGTGTTAAACAAATATATGAGCATATCTGTTAAAGTGCATGCCTAATTTGCATAATTATTTCAAAAAAATCTGCACTGCATGCAGATGAGTCATATAATGGAACAACGTGCAAGTATTATTAATTCATCTATTTAAATAAATAAATGCTTGATTTTTTTTTAGCATGTTTGCAAACATTAGCCAGGACTCTATATGGAGAATTTCCATTAAGCCGTAATTCATCACCTACACAATGACATTTACATTACGCTTGTGCTAAATAACTAAACGGGCAGCTAAGAACGAATTCTCGCATTAAATATCTAAGCCTTGATAAGTGTTATTTTGTAGAAGCAACATCAATTCACTCATCTGGATTCTATCTAGGTTGTTTATGGAGCATGTTTGCACTATTGAAACTACACACCTCATCTACACTACAGCTCAATGCAGGAACACAGTCTTGAGGACATTCGGTCTTCATACTTCAAAAGTAGCATGTGCTCTGAATCACACAATAGTGGATAATTCATGGATATCATACAGTTGACCTGAAACAGTTAAAAACCAGGGTATAAATCAGCTTTGCGGAAGAATCTTTTCCCTGGTGAAGTGTTACATTCCCCAGATCACTGTCTGTCACTGTCACATTTATAAAGTCTATTTTTTTTACATCTATTGTGCTTAGAGCGGTTTTCCATGCAATGTGAATTTTCCCTGCTACAATACAGGTGTCTCAATGCCCCCATGAATGCACATCAAATTAAGATACATATATATACACATATGGGTGCCTTGGAATCTGCATATTCCACATCTGGGAAACATTGGTAAGCTGCTTTCCTAATACAGGATGATTTGGAATGGCAAGCTGGTCCTGGTATGGAAGAGAGCCTTCAAAAGATGGCAGGGCACTGACTCCAGTCCTGTCTGTCTTTGGCTTCCCAGTAGCCTCCTTTATACACGTAGCTGCTCTCACCTGTCTCTGTATCAGTCCTTTTCTCAAACCACAAGGGCTGGTGGCTCTCGGCCTCCTTACCTGTCAAATCCAGGACAAAACATCTGCAGTGAGATACTCTCCTACTTTCCTACTGTATGCTGCCTACTAGGTATATGAAACAATGAGTGTGTGAGGCTGTGTCTTACCCTCTTCTAGAGCAAGATTGGCCTGCGCCTCTCTCTTCCTCCTCTCCAGTCTCTGACGCTCCTCCAGACACTGTTTCTCAGCGTTCGCTTCGTCCCACAAGCCCGCCTCCATCAGCCGTTGGTCGGGCCGTAGGCGGCTGTCAGTAGGGGCAACGCCATCCTCCAGCTCATTCAGAGTCAAAGCCAAAGAAGAAAAGTAATGCATGTTTTCTGCATTCTCACTGGAATTACAGAAGAAAAAAAGAGAGTAGAAATTTACTAGAAAAAAATTAAAAGATAAATATATCAGGGCTCAAATCTAAATTATTAGATGATAGACAGAGAGCCAGCCAGCTAGATAGATAGATAGATAGATAGAGAGACAGACAGACAGAGACAGACAGATAGATAGATAGACAGACAGATAGATAGATAGATAGATAGATAGATAGATAGATAGACTCTTACGGCAGAGGGTATTTCTTCCACAGTAGTTTTGGTGGTAGAGTCTGATAGACAGTTTTCTGTTTGCCCTCAGATCCTCCAGAGCCGTGGCTGCTCTCTATGATCTTTGCACTTTCCATTTTATCATCCCACGTTCCAGAGAGAATGTAGTGGCCACAGCCTTCGCCGTCCATCACAACGCCTGTTACCTGTGGACAGGAGGACATACATGCAAACACACTCCTGCAGTTACACTCAATACCCAGCAGAGGTCAGCAGCACACAGCCTCACATTTCACATGCTGGAAAATCATCTGACTGAATGAAGGTGATGATACAATACACAGACTGACCTTGCGGGGAACATCCCTGGAAAAATAGCTGTATGGGGAGAATTTGAGGTGGCATTTCAGACAGACAGATAGATAGATAGACAGACAGATAGATAGATAGACAGATAGAGAGACAGGCAGACAGATAGACAGACAGACAGACAGACAGACAGACAGACAGATAGATAGATAGATAAAAAGAGAGAGATAGAAAGACGACAGACATACAGACATACAGACAGATAGATAGATAGATAGAGAGATAGACAACAGACAGACAGAGATAGAAAAAAGAGACAGACAGATAGATAGATAGATAGATAGATAGATAGATATTTTATCATCCCACGTTCCAGAGAGAATGTAGTGGCCACAGCCTTCGCCGTCCATCACAACGCCTGTTACCTGTGGACAGGAGGACATACATGCAAACACACTCCTGCAGTTACACTCAATACCCAGCAGAGGTCAGCAGCACACAGCCTCACATTTCACATGCTGGAAAATCATCTGACTGAATGAAGGTGATGATACAATACACAGACTGACCTTGCGGGGAACATCCCTGGAAAAATAGCTGTATGGGGAGAATTTGAGGTGGCATTTGTCCTTGTTCCTGTGGTTCATGATTATAATGTCCCCAGACTGCATCAGGACAAAGAGTCATACGTTAATAACAATGACAGAGCTGAAGTGATGAAGAGCAGGTGTTTGGATTAGAGTTAAGTGCCATGAATTGAACATTTATTGAGGAGGTTAATATGATCTATTTCGATTTCATGCCTTGATGGTCAATTAATTTTAACTGCATTCCCCACTGACTCAGTCCAGAGCTGTAATAATTGTTTCCTGTTTCCTCTGCAGTGGGAAAGACAGGAGCGGAAGGCAGATGGAGAAGAGCAGTGTCAGTGGTGACTTTTCTCTAACAGATGGAGTGCTGAAGATGAGTAATGCCTCACCACGTGGGAGGACTCGAACCATACAATTTACTCAAAAATGAAAATTCTGTCATCATTTCATCAGCCTCATGTTGCTGCAAACCCCTATGACTTTTTTTTCCTTTGGTCAAATCTGATGTAACACATCAAATGGTTTTATTTGAGTACCACAATAAAGATTTAGTAAATAATGATTTCAATTTCAGTTCAAGTTTCTCAAAAAAATGTATCATACAGCTTCAAAAGACTTGGAATATAGGCCTAGCACTAAAACTAAACAGTTACATTTTTTATTTTATTATTAACTGAAATAAAGCTGAAATAAATAAATAAATAAATAAAATTTTAAATGAAAAATAGAAATGTTGCACTGGCAACTAACTGAAATAAAATAATTTTAAGTTGAAGTACTAAAACTAAAATAAAAAAAGAAATAAAAATAGCAAAGCTAAATAGAAATATAAAAAAAAGACAAAAACACATAAGAAAATGACTGAAACTGAAATTAAAATTAAAAGTAAAATATAAAATAAAAGCGAATTCAAAATATTAATAAATATAAAAATAATAAAATAACTCTGGTTTACAGAGCATGAGCCTTTTTTATCACTTTAATGATACCTTTGTTTTGTTTTGTCATTTTGGAGTTTATCAGCACCTGTCCCTATTCTCTTTCATTAAATAGAAAAAAAAATAATAACCAGGAAATTCTTTAAAAATTCTACTATTGTGTCATACATTTAGAAGGACGTGCAATATGGAATGTTATCTGTAATATAAACACATAACAAACAAAGAAAAACAAGAGAAAAGAGTATGAAACCACACACATACTTGATCTAGCCATAGTTTGCCCACAATTATATTGTGCACAGTGGAGGTCACCTTGCTCCACACATAATGATTCCCACTGGCGTGGAACTTCAGGTGAATGTTGCCTGCAGAGAGCAAAGAGAGGCACTATGAGCAAATAACGGCAGGAGAAAGAGAAACATGTACATGGAAATAAAAGAGAACAAAGTTGATTCACTCTAAAAATATCTCAAAGCTGCAGGGAGACCTGCAATACACATCAGTATAAAAGGCTCTATAAAAATAGAAACCATTTCTCAAATGAAATTTTCCTTTGAAGTAACGTTTACCTGGAAGCAGCACATTTATTCAGACACTCTGCATTTGAGCAAAGTGAATCTAGGTAACCAGTGTTGTTTTTAATGCTAGCCGATGAGTTTTCAAAATGGGGTTATATTTTTTTTGTAATTTAAATATTTGGAATTTGCCCCGTGAACCGTACGGTACGAATACGTGTATCGTTACACCCCTAATAGATAGATAGATAGATAGACAGACAGACAGATAGATAGATAAAAAGAGAGACAGATAGAAAGACGACAGACAGATAGATAGATAGATAGATAGATAGAAAGAGAGATAGACAACAGACAGACAGACAGAGATAGATTTTTTATATATATATATATATTTATATATTTATTTTTTTGTTAATTACAGACACACTACCAGTATGTGGTTTCGGACCTGTTCACTGATAGAGCGGTATCCATACTCCTCCACGCGGTCCAGCTCATAGGTCTCTCCCAACAGGGGGTTGAAGGGTTTCCCTGTGCGGTGGACGGTGGTTGAATAGGATGACACAGAGAAGGCGGCCACCAGACACATCTGCTCCAGAGAGGAGTCACAGCGTGTCGCCCGGTCCAGGAGTTCGCTGTATTCAAGATCCTCTGTCAAGCGCTGCAGCATCGATAACGGCTCGTTGAAGTTCACCTGGAAGTGAGGATTCAGATGCACACAGATCCATGTCAAGACACTGATAATGAAGATTTTGAGAATTTGAAGGTTCACCCCAAACTGAAACTGAGCTGAAAATGTACTCACCCTCGGGCCATCCAAGATGAACATGAGTTTCAAACAGCTGATAAAAACATCACAATAATCCACACCACTCCAGTCCATCAATTAACATCTTGTGAAGCAAAAAGATATGTGTTTTTAATAAATGAATCTATCAATAAGCCGTTTCAACATAAAAACTGTAACTTCTGGCCACAATACAAGTCCATAATCCATAATAACGCTTCCTCCAGTGAAAAAGTCCATCCCTTGTTGTTCTCTAAATATATGTGTGTGTGTGTGTGTGTGTGTGTGTGTATATATATATACATTTTTATATATATATAAATAAAATAAAATAAACTTTATATATTATCAAATTTGCTCTGTCAATCAATGTTTTAAGGTATCTCTGAATTGTATACTTAATGTATCACTAGAAATTGGTTATTAGTCTAAAAGGAGCCATGACTGATGGATTTTGTATCTGTGTCTGTGTGTAATGATGTGAATGTGCTCTAAAGGTGACTCATAGCTCATGATGCAGCCTCGCTGTGAAATCACATGGTGGGCAGCCGCTGGAGGGTGATGACTTATCTGAGAGAGAGGGTGAGCAAGAGCTGATCAATGTGTCACACAATCACTGACAACATTTAATGCATTAACTATAATTAGGTAAGTAAAATATGCTTACAAACTGTATATATACAGTATATATATATATATATATATATTTATATATTTTAATAAGCCGTTTCAACATAAAAACTGTAACTTCTGGCCACAATACAAGTCCATAATCCATAATAACGCTTCCTCCAGTGAAAAAGTCCATCCCTTGTTGTTCTCTAACATCAAAATCCACCCACATATTAGAACTGTTTTCACTTGTGAATGGTGCTTTGATAGGTGCATATTTCTCTCCTGATTCAGACAAGAGAAAGCAGTATTATGAATAGAGGATTTTAACCAGAAGCAACAGTCTGAAGTTAAAAATCTCCTGATGGATTTGTTCATTACAAACATGCAGCTTGGACTGGAGTGGTGTGGATTACTGTAATGTATTAATCAGCTGTTTGGATTCTAATTCTGAAGGCACCCATTTAGTGCAGAGGAACCAAAACCATTCCCATGAAGAAACAAACTCATCTACATCTTGGATGGGAACATTTTCAGCAAATCTTCCTTTTCTGGTTGAACTATTTCTTTATTTATAATAATTGGGCATTATCTCCCATAGCTTATAACTCAGTTCTATATAACACAAATTCTGAGGCTCCTCTCACAGGCATGGGGATCTTAGAGAGTTCCTTTCCAATGCAATTCTTCATGATGCTCCACAGGTTCAGGGAGTAGTTGGGCTTATCTGGGATACGACAGCGTCTACCCCTGCGCAAGTAGCTACCAGAACTGTCCTGTAAACACAGCGAAAACGCTATAGTGAACAAACATCTTAATTAAGATGAATGCTATTTGGCATGTGTGGTTCTGTTTGGATATGTTATGAATAAACAAAAGCCTAAACTCACATTGTCATCCTGGCTCCAATTACTGGATAAACTTCCACTGGTCACGTTCTGATTACTGCTCAAATGTTTAAGACACACACACAGAAACATAAGTGAGGGCTGAAATATCAAATTGCGTCTTACTGTAAATATGTATTGTACTCACAAGCCACACTAGGGGAAGATCATTCATTATTCAAGCACAGAGTAGATAAACAATGTACAGATGCTGAAAAGCAATTTGTTGCGTGCAATATTCACAATAACATGATTCCACTTAGCATGCACTTATTTTGGCCAAGAAGAGACCATCTAACTGACATGAAAACCACAATTAATTTTGATTTTAAGCACCACTTCAGGAGAAGGTGCATCTGAAATCGATGACACCTAAAAATATTCAAATAATAGTGCAGCATTCTCAGAACAATAATTATTTTAAGAGAAATAGCTAAAAAAAAATAGTGTCAATTGTGAAAAGAAAACTGGGCGCTCTGACTCCCAGCTAGTCACTCAAATTTGAGCTTGTTATTTTATCAAGCTCTTGTCATTCTATGCATCAGATGGTCAGTAAATGGACTGTGTTGTCTGGGCCTGTGACTGAAAGCCACTGGCTATCATATGATCTCTCATGATATGATCTATATATATGGACCTGTGTTGTGAGTGATCGTCTGCAGGCACTGTGATGAAGGTGGGAGAATCTTCCATGGCATCAAAGAACTCTATGTCTTCATTCTCTTCACTGGATTCTCCCTCCGGTATTCCCTCTGCCCCTTCTGAAGATCAACACATGGAAAATCTCATTTAATGATGGGTCAGCATTATATAAAATTTGTATAACATCTGCATAAAACTGAGTGTTGCATTTTAAGCCTGGCATAATAACATGCATTTAGCATCACATTTATAAATGTAAATAGTTATGCTGCTTTGCATGGCAAAGCCATTCAAAATCAAATTTAATTCATTTTTTTGTGATATTAAAATATTTACTTATTGATATTATTCATTTATTATTTATACATTTTAATAATGGAGGAACATAAACATTTTTAATGTTTATTTAAGAAGTCCTTTATGCTCAACAAGGCTATACTTATTTGATCAAAACACATTGAAAACATTAATATTATGGAATATCATTGCAATATGAAATAGCTGTTTTCTTATTGAATATATTTTAAAATGTAATTTATTCCTGTGATGAAAACCTGAATGTCAGCATCATTACTCCAGTCTTCAGTGTCACATGATCCTTCAGAAATCATTCTAATATGCTGATCTACTGCTCAAGAAACATGTATATTATTATCAATGTTGAAAACAGTTGTGCTGCTTATACTTTTGTGGAAACGGTGATACCTTTTTTTCAGGATACTGAAGTTGAAGTTTGACACCAAACTTTTAAATGGTGGTGTGCATTAAAACTATAAAATATAACTTCATATGAATATAGTTCACATGAATCAAAAGAACAACTTTTAAGGTGTTTTATGGCACTTTCTGACCTTTTTAAGGCAGTTTGTTCTTCACACTCAGTGTAGAGAAAACAGCAGCTTGGACAATCTGCAAAACATCACTTATTGTGCTCCACAGATAAAAAATAAAATGGTCAAAAAGCCTCACTATTGTGTGTGCTGGGTGATTCTCTCCAGGCTCTCTCCAGACTGTTGTGTTGTTTGGCTAGCTGCTCGATAGTCTCCTCCAGGTGGTGGCGCTGTTCCCGCTCATACTGCAGTGCGCGCTGCCACCGCCGGCTGTGTGCCTCCGCTAGATCCACAAAGTCCTGGCAGGCCTGATCAAAAAACCAGCCCAATCATTCAGATTCATCACTCATTTTCGGTTACAAATTCAGCCATTTTTAATAATAAAACGGGTATTTTTATGCTAAAATGTCTGGTGTCTAATATGCAGAGTCAACCAAAAAGTAAGCCATTGAAGCTCACATTGATCATAGCATTGGAAGTGATGCGGAAGAGAGTGGCTCGCTCGTTGACGGTCTTATCGACGCCGTCGCTGGGGGCGCGCAGGTCCTCCAGTTCACTGAGGGAGCGCTGGAGGGCGGCACCGTGTTTCCCGATGAGCTCGTTGCAGGTGCTAAGGTCTTCGAGCTTGCTGGCCAGAGTCTTGAGCACCCCCTGGATCAGAGCACGATCCGGCTGGCGTAGTGGACCCTCGTCACCAGAGTCATCTGCACAATAGTTACATGGAGAGATATTAGTGAAGCACAGCTCTGTTTTTAATTTGACATGAGTGAAAACTAAAAAGAGCTGTCTTTTTAATGGATTGTACATGTAGTATCTAGGTAAACTCAAAAAAAAAAAAACATTGACAATACGTCTTTCCACAGAAGTTCCAATAGAAAACCTGGGGGGAAAAGTACAAACAATTGAACATATATCCAGCACAGCCTCATTTTCATTTGCGTCAATACAAATATGTAGGGCTGCCCCCTAATAGTTGAATAACCGTCGATTAGAAGAGGCTTAGTCGATCAAAATTGTATTAGTCGCTTAATTGCAGAAAAAAAAATCCACAGGAAGTGGCGAAGTCACGTAGTCCATGACGGACAGATCATTAACAGCCGGTCTATGTGGTAATGACAGTTCATTGGTCTGGACATCCCAAAAAGTACATTTATTACTTTTTTCTTTTTATACACTATTTTAGGGAAGTGATTATCTACGTTTTTGACTCGATGGCCCCCCAATGTCCAACACCAATATTCAAAGGCCCTCTAAATAATGTCAACAGAAATATAACTATGATATACATTAACTATAAATTATTATTAACAGAAAGTGGTCTATATAGGGACATAAATTAACCTCAATTCATTTTGTGATTCAATAGTTATTGAAGTGGGAAAAGAAATATGATTTCAGGTCATCTTGAATGTAGTGTATTTGTTTTAAAATGTTAATATTATATTAACAATAAAGTCATCCTGTGCCCCCTTGGGAGGTTTGGTCCCCTAGTGGCCCCCTGATTGAGAACCACAGTTGTAAGGGGTCTGTGGAAAAATTTGGATAAGAAAATGTGTTGCTTTGGACCAATATTTACCATGAAAAGTGCTATAAAATTTTATATTCTACTGTAATTTATAATTTGTCAAAATAATAATAATTATTAATAATTACTATTATTTTTTAATAATGACTAATAGTAATGATGATGCTTATTTTGTTTTTTATTTTGTCTTTGTCCAACTATTTTATTCACATTGTAAAACTGAGCCTTAAAATATATAACTGCCTTTATATTTTAGAAAGGGGGTCCTATAACAGGGATTGTAAAACCCAGTTATAGGACCCCTTCCACAGATTTGTAAGCAAATTCCTGTATGTGCAGTTTTTGTTTGTTCTTTGCAAACTGAAGGATGATTCAAAATTATTCCAGTGATGAACAGAAAGTATGGCATATACCTTTAAATAAGGGAAGTTATTGTGTGTTATGATGTTCTGCAGCCAACAGAGATGGTCACTGCAGCGCTGCAGGCTGAGCTAAAATAACTTTATAAATAGCACAGACGCACACAGAGTGCTGGAGGGCTCTGACGTGACAGCTGAGAACTAAAACTGTCCTTTTGTGGAGGTCTTTTCAATTACAAGCATATTTTCCAGCCAGGCCTTAAAGTCCCCATGAAATCAAAATGAAAGTTTTTTTGGGTGTTAGTATCAGTATGTTAGTCTTAAGGTTATCTATAAGGCAGTGTGCTCCAAAACAGTGACAAAATTCGCATTTAGAAGATATAAGCATTCAAAGCTTGCAGTTCGTCACTTCCGAACAAAATGACGTCAACACATAGAGTAATGCTGCGTGTTTCTAAGCATTTCAGGGGACCTTTAAATGGATGCTGAAAAATGACCACAGCGATGGACAGAAGCCATAACGGGAGGAGATGGAGAAAGTGTGAGAGAGACAGAGAGAGATAACATGTTTAAACAGAAAGCAAGCAATCAGAGGGAGAAAGATCCAGATATAGATTTCATTATAGAGCTGAAGGACATCACAATTGGATGTGGGCAGTAGGTGACAGAATGAGCCAGTGTGAAGAGAGGCGTCATAATAACCAGCAACCCATTCAAAACACCAGATTTCTGTGAATGAACACGGTTACCATGGAAACAAGGTCCCACGCAATTGGGAGGACAACTATTTTTAGAAGCTATAAGGAAAATGAGAAAGAAAGAAAAAGTGGGCTCATGCGTCTCGCTTTGCCTGCTCTGTCACACAACATGGCCATCACTCACTGGAAAATAGACGAGAACAGGCTGTAAATTGCATCTTGTGTGACGAAAGACATTTTTGGAAGCAGTTGCTTGTGTGAGCCTGAGGCGGCTACATGAGGAGACGAGCAGTGCACACGCTGGCACACTGTTAGCTGAAACTCACTCAATCTGTGTATCAGAGACTGGAGATGAAAGGGTAGAGGCGTGACCTTTAAATGACCTGCTGCACCTGATCAGATCATCAGGTGACCCTGTCTATGTTATACATGAAATATGTTATATCTGGAAAAGATGCATCACAGTTCCAACAAATATATAAAGCAGCACATTGATAATGATAATAAATGTTTCATAAGCATCAAATCAACATATCAGAATGATTTCTGAAGGATCATGTGACACTGAAAACTGGAGTAATGATGCTGAAAATTCAGCTTTACCATTACAGGAATAAATTACATTTATAAAAATATTCAGATAATAATATTTCACAATATTACTGTTTTTACTGCATTTATGATCAAATAAATGCAGCCTAGATAAACATATGAAATGGTTAAAAATACTTAAGCATTGCTTGCATATTTAATAATACTAACTAATTGATAATGCATTAATAATAATGTATTAATATATGCTTAACAGTTAGACAAAGACATAAAACACACCAAAATTAATTTACAACCATTTACATAGCAACTTTTCATAATTATTATTATTGCATAATAAAAAATGTTATTCATTGTAGTATTAAAATTGTTTTTGGTGGCGAAAAGCAGAAAACCAAAATAATATAACTAATGCAAATGTTTTCATCTTATGTTTTTCATTGTAATATTATTCATTTATTATGTAGCATTAGTACTATTTATATCATTTTAAATAGTCTTATTATTTATTGTGTCAAAATCAGAAAACAAAAACAAATCAATAATTAAACATCTTTTCTAGATATTGGTGATTGGAAATATAAGCATAAAAGCAATCTGCATCTTATCGGCCATGAAAAAACAATACCTAGTTAAACTTTTGCTGGTTAAGGAAAATTAGTTCATTCATTATAATAAAATAATGCATGTCTTTGCAACATACTGTATAGGTATTTTGAACAAACACATGTTTATTCAAGTACTGTCAACAAAACAACTTTTGTTAGAAAGATTTGTTCAGTTCACACAAAATTATAAACTGACTCCTATTATAAAAAAATTTTTTTTTTTTTTACATTTGTTAGAAGAACTTTTTGCAAGTACGATTTTTTTTTTTTTTTACAGTGGGGATCAACCGAACCCATCATCTGCAAAGATTACATGATCACCGAAATGCCAGCTTCAATCATTTTACCCAAACTGTATCTAAGCCAAAGCGCCTTTAACCCAATCCAAGCAAAAGACTGCAATTTTCTGCTTGCCAAAAAAACAATCGGGGGAAAGTGGATTAGCGTGGATCTCTAGAGAGCAGAATCAAAGAGGAGAGAATGAGAACTCCTCCAGTCTGATGACCCACATACAGCCATTGTGTGCCTGCGTCTCCTGCCAAAGGTGCTCGACTGCCTCGTCTTACATCACAGAGCCACATCAGCAGCCAGAGGGAGTCCTAAAGGTGGGATTAAAATAGAGAGAGCAAGAAAGGCTCGCTCAACCTCGGCAGGCGTAAGAGGAAAAGCACCATTGCTGGAGAATCAAATAAAGATCCCCTTCCTCTGACCTGCTGGAGATACACGAGTGACTCATCTCGGAATAACCACACCTAAACTAACAGCAGATCGCAGAGCAGGCGAGATCCAGCATAAAAGACTGGAAGGATCTTCGAAAACAAGCGACAGTTAAGTTTACTGGCTGTCTGACAATCCAATTTGTCCCATCAGCCTGCATACTTTCTGACAGATAATCCGATTTGCACAGTTTCTCACACTTACAACACAACTTTCAGGCCACACTCAAAAGAAACTTCAACGTGGACTCGTTTGACACCAAGAATTTGCTAGCAACAACCTAGAAACACCCTGACAACCGAACATTGCTCACATTACTTCAGAAAATCTTCAAATGTAGTTCTAAATGTAGCATATTGTGCTTTTGCACAGTCGGACATTAGCTCAATAGGTTTCCAATTCATACCTAAATTCAGACTAAGCTGTAAGCACTAAATGTATTTAGCCCATAAAAGAGTCACCACATGCAAACATAAACAGTTATAGAGTAGCCACAATGTGCTTCAGAGAATCTATAAAAATACACTCATTCCTGTAACTGATCATATAAAGCCACTGCATACAGAACTTTGAAATCAAAGCTGAAATGAAAGTTAAATTAGTATGTAATATTCCACTAAACGTTCATATAGTAGTAAACTAAAACACAGGCTATAAGCATCTATGAACTCTGAATTTATTGTCCACCGAGACAAAAGACAAATGGCTTTGCATAAATGGCAATCAAACATTTGTATTTATAATTGTTCCTACCTTTTCTCGAATCACTGATAAATACAAAGCAAGCAAAGCTTATTTAGTGAAGATGATGTTAAAATGTAGCGTTCCCTCTCGGTCTCCTCAGTCACCTTCCCAGCTTCCCTCCCATCCCTCTCGCTCCTGTTTTCCTTCTCACCCTCCCTCTTTCCCCTCACATTCTCCAAACTGCACGGTGGGCGGAGCTTATACGCTCGTCACTCCATTCAGCAGCACATCATATATCATCCCAATGGGAAGGTGTGCAGTATGCAGATTAATCACATTTGGGAGCAAACTGTACAAGAAAAGAGACTCATGTAAATGCAATCATGTAGGAGGAGCCGGAAACACAGTCAAATTCTTTGTACAATTCAAATATATTTGAGTGTTTTCTCAAACTACCAGGACTAAGTTTTGTTAAGAAAAAAATCCTGAGAACTGAAATAAAAAGTAAGACATGCATTGCATTCATTCATTTTTTAAATATCAGTAGATAAACAATGAAATCTGTCTATTAAATATAACACAAAAATAATAAACACATTTAATACATTATATTAATGAGGAAATAATAATGACTGCATAATACTGTGCATTTAAAAATATTTCAAATATATATAAAAACAATCTTTAAAAAAAAACATGAACAATACTACCCCCTAGTGGCAATTGTGTAAAAAAATTGCACATTTTATAATGAGTATAGAAAACACTCAAAAAAAGATGTTTTGCCTTAGACAGCAATAAAGAGACAAATTCCAGTTGTTTACTATATATTGCTTATATACACTATACGTTTTTTTTTAATAAGGGATATTGAAGACATAGGAACAAATGTTTTATGGAGGAAATCATTTTACGGTGCATTATGCTCTCAGACTTTAAATGTGAGTTCAGATTAAACTGGCTGGTAAATCTGCGATAAATAAATAATTACATGTAACATGCACTGTGATTTAAGTGGTTTAAAATGGAAAGAGAAATTCATGTCTCTACATAAAATCAAAGATATGAAGAGAAGGTAAAAATGCAGACCTGTTTAAAACTGATGTATATGGTTGAGATAAATGTATTATTAAAGCCTGAATAACAAGGCAAGTTACTTAAACAACGACAAACACGCTGACATCACTTCTCATTGTTTATGACCATTTTACACATTTGAAAATAATACTAAAGTTTTCAAAACGGCAAAGTATGGGAATTATCTAGTGAGCAAAAATAGTCACCCCCTCCCAAAATTACAGCCCTGCACACCAACTGCATTCTGGGATGCTTTTGTTTGGCACTGCGACCAGGGGCGGATTAATGTCGTCAGGGGCCCCTAGGCTGCTCTTTGTGTGAGGCCCCCGCCCCCCGTGGTGCGGAGCGTGCATTCTACAATAAAAAACATTTATTTTGTCAAACGCTCTGCAACGAATCCTTCTTTAATGTTTCTTATGGGCCAATGAGGGTCTTTTTTGTTCCTGCTGAAGTAAATTTAAAATAAAAAAAAAATAGTCTGGTCAATCCAAGGCCCCTGCACACGTGGGGCCCCTAAGCTGCAGCCTAGGCAAGCCTGTGTGTTAATCGGCGCCTGACTGCGACTCATCACTCACCTGAATGTGTCATCATTTGAGTGGCGTTTGCTTTGGCCTGCTGCAGAGCAGAAACCCAGCGCTGACACTCGCCCTCTGAATACGCCTTCAGGTGGTAGCTCCGCCCTCCACTCGTCAGCACAAAGTGACAGGTGTCACCCACCTCTATGTGCACCGTCGCCAAGGTAATCGTGCCTCGGCAGGTGTGTGCCATTTCTGCTTGAGTCCTAAAGACAAATTTACATATACACAAACACACGTTGATGTGAGTTTAAGAAGCAGCTAGCTGAAAGTTACAGATCCACAGAATCACAAACACACTCTTATAATAGCGATAGACTGATATATCAGCCAGAATGATTAACTGGCCATTCGAAGATGCTCAACATAACTGTGACATGCCCAAAATCTACAAGCAGCCTTGACAATAGTAAATGCAGTTTCTGTGCCAATACTTGTGAGTGAATTCATAATTGAGAGTAATTATTGCATTAACGATTTTTATTTTATCATTATGAATTTATTATTGTGAGTAATAATTGTGAAAAAATATTTTATTATTGAATGAATTTAATATTGTATATAATTGAGTAAATATTTATTATTATTATTTTATTATGAGTGAATTTAGGCATTTTATTGTGATAAATCATGCTGTAAATAATATGTTTATTTTATTAGGAGTGAATATATTATTGTGAGTAATTATGCTGTAAATATAATTTACTTTTATTATTTTATCATTATGAGTGAATTTATTATTGTGAGTAATTATTGTGTAAAAAGTATTTTATTATTAAGTGAATGTATTATTGTAAATAATTGAGTAAATATTTATTATAATTATTTTATTATTATGAGTGTTATGCTATAAAAATGACTTTTGAATTTAGGCCTTTTATTGTGATAAATGATGCTGTAAATAATATTTGTATTTTATTATAATGAGTGAATTTATATTCATGAGTATTATTGTGTAAAATATTTTATTTTATTATGTGAGACACTTCATTATTGTGAGTAATTATTGGGTAAAATAATTTCTTGTTATTATTGTATTATTATGAGTGAATTTGTTATTGTGAATAATTACTAAGAAAATAATAATTTATTGTTTTATTAATATGAGTGACTTTAGTATAGTAAGAAATTATTGGGTAAAGATTATTATTTATTTTTATTATTTAATTATTTTAATTGAATTTACTATTGTAATTATTGTAGAAAGTACTTTTACATCATTTTACTGTTCTAAGTGAATATATTATTATTGTGTGGAGGAAAATATATTTGATTTGACTTCATTTACTCATATCTCAGTTATTTTATATATATTATATATATATATATATATATATATATATATATAT